AAAAAAAAAAAAAAAAAAAAAAAAAAAAAAATCCTGCAGGATGTTACCCCTCTTCTTTGCACAGAAGCACCCAGCTGCCTTGCTGCTCTCAGCTGCTAGTTCCTGCATGGAGGTAACCGATTTGGAGAGGCAAATCTGGGACCCTGGGAGCAGGAAGGCTCCGTGCCGGCTGCTCGCAATGCCCACTGTTGCCTTCCACAGCATGACAGAGGGAACAAAACCCCACCAAAGGACCACGGCTGCCTTCCCCAGGCCCCTGCCATCGTGTAGTGGACAGGGCTGCCGGAGGATGGAGTGGGGAAGCATGCCAGAAATGCCAAGAAGCTTTCAGCAAAGCAAAGGCCACAGGGATTTACAGGCCAGCACTCCAGGTGGGATCCAGGCACCTTCTCCAGTACGTCACGAAAAGGTTTCAAGGACCTGATTTTATAGATACCTAAATAAATACATTGGAATTGATATATAAAACCACAGTGTATATTTATGTATTTTGCAGAGGGGGAGGGATGTAATTAGATGGCAGCCTCTCTCAAGGCTGTCCCCGCTGTAATTCACGCCCCGAGGCGGCTGGCTGAAGGGAGGAGGAGGAATAAAGCAGGCAGCAGAATTGATGGGCTGCTCCCAGAAGCTTTGTTTTAATTAATTTGCAAAGCACTCCTTGTAGCAGAGCAGGCAGCTCCTTCAAAGCCTCCTTCCACCCACTGCTGCCCATGCTCATGTCAGCCCGGGGTCTGGGCCAGGGGGGTGAGCCCGGGAGCCCGCCCTGCTTCTGTGAGCCCCCAGGCTTTTTGGTTAAAGTGTGCAGAAGCTGTTGCTGGCTTTAGACAGGGGGACTTTTCCCTGGCCAAGAAGCCTCTTGGATGACCGCAGCATGGGCAGGCACTTCTATTAGGGTTTTTCCTCTTCCCCTTTTTATTGACTTGCTGCTTGTTCCTGCTGCCAGGGGTCAGCTGGGGCTTTGGCTGGACTTTGCTGAAAGTCCACCCAAAACGGCCGGTTACCAGGTGCTGACGCAGTGCCCCTGCCCCTAAGATATAACAGTTTGAAAACCGGGTTTGCAGCCCAGTCGGGTGCACGGTGGCGGGGCTGGAAAGGGGCTGGGGCTGTGTCAGCTCCAAAGCTCTTCCCAAGCAAGCAGGTTTGTGAAATTAAACTGCTTTTGGTGGATTTAGCAAGGTGAGGGCAGCAACAGCAGTTCAGTGGTGAATTTGAGGGCGACTTGGCTGACATGGAGGGCCCTGTCCCCAGCCAGGACACCGTGCCGACCGTCACAGAGCCCTCCAACGCCATCAAAGTGCTGCACCTGGTTTTCCTCTCCACCTCCTGGGGAATGCAGATCTGGATGACCTTCGTGGCCGGTAGGTCGCGGTCCGTGCATGCTGCTGTGGCTCTGTGCCTGTGGGGAGGCCCAGGGGAAGGGGCTTTGCCCCAGCACCTACCCGCTCTCTCCCTTTGCAGGGTTTGTGATGGGCAGCCACCTCCCTCGCCACACCTTCGGCTTCATCCAGCGCCAGCTCTTCCCCTACTACTTCCACATTGTCTCCGCTTGTGCTTTCTTCAACCTGACTCTGTTTGCCATGTACCACCCCAGTGAGCTGCTCAGTGATGAACAAACGACCCAGGTAGTCTCCCACTTTAAAAGGCGAGCTGGCTGCAGCCCCAGTCCCTTCCTCCACGGGGTCCCACTCTGCTCTGCTCCGCTGAGGCTGGTTTGCAAACGATGACGTGGCTCTGGTTTAAAAAAACCGGTTAGCGTCCAGACGAGCTTTGCGTGCAAGCGGGGCCGGGGGAGCAATTTAATCCACGGCAGGTGTGAGATGTTCACGGCAGGCTTTGCTCCCCTGCAGATCATCGCCTTCTTCATTTGCGTCGCCGCTTCCGTGCTGAACACACAGTGGTTTGGGCAGGTCACCTCTGACATCGTGGCGGACATGCACCTTGTGGAGCGCAGCCATGGCCTGGGCCAGGAGGTTGGACTGTTCACCAGGCAGTCCCACAGGCAGCTGTGTGCCTCCAACACCAGCTACCGGCAGCTGACCCGGCAGTTTACCCTCTACCATGCTCTGTCCTCCCTCTGCAACCTCTGCTGCATTGCGTGCAACGGCCTGAGCTTGTACTACGTGGCTGCTCGTCTCCCTGCCCTGTGAGAGCGGGACGCCGGCGAGGAGAAGGCTGGCTGGCCAGAACCTGCACTCTGGGAAATGGGAGCCAGCCTGCTGCCTTGCTGTAAAGTTAACCCAGAGCTTTGGAGATTAAATTTCAGCATCCTCAGATGGAGATACTTTTACTGTATTCGTGCATGGCACAGAAATTTAGCAATAGCGAAATGGAAATGATTTCTCTAAAGCGCTCTTAGCCAGCCTCCATGATCTAAGGAGTGTTTATGGCTGAACAGCTTCTTAATGCCCTGTGCGCTAGATGTGTCTAAAACTGCAGTATATTTCTGCAGTCACAGAGAGATTGCAGTAGAGAAAGAAATGAGAGATTCAGAATTACTTCTAATTAAATGCTGAAAGCTAATACTGAAGTGCAGAAGAGCCTGTATGGCAGCTGTACCATTTAGTGCAATGGAAAGGGTTATGTTTGGGTTTAGAATTGCTCTTTGTCATTCTCTTGTAGTATTTCACGAGGTGAGAAAAATTATTGTCTCATTTATTGGGCAGAAGTCAGTCTACTTAAAATCGACATGTTTATTTCCAGGTTCTATAGGACAATCAAGGTAGCAAAAGGGTCACTAAAAGGCAGGGCTCTGAACAAAGAGCTCTGCTTTACCCTGGCCAGCAGCAGAGCCAAGCGGTGAAAAAAGAGCAGCTGCTTAATGGCAGGCAGGAATCCGACTGCCTCCATCCCACAGCAACAGGCGGGTACCTCCCCAGAGCAGGGCTGTTAAACCCCAGCAACTACAGCCCTCCTCCAAGGAAACCAGTGAGTTTTCACAGGTAAGTAAGTACATTCCCAGCTGCTGTTGCTTCAACTGCAGCCAGCATTTGGCACGGGTTCAGGTTTATTTCAAAACCACATGCAGCCTATCATAGAGGAGACCTCCTGCGAGCCAGCTGGGTTTCTTTTTAAACAAATAATTCCCTCTGGTAAGCTCTTCATACTCCTATGCTTCTTTCCTGGAAGTTTCCCCGTGTGCCAAGATTATTTCTCCCCTGAAGTGTGCAAGGTATTTTTGTTCAAGCAGAGGTTTGCAGTCTGTAGCTGAGACAACAAACAGCAGCCTCTTGCACAGGATTCCTCGTTTCATTCTTGCTCGTTATAGTCGATGCACTTTCTTGCCAGAGAAGTACTTCTTAGAGAAGGGAGAATGCTTTACAAATGCCAAAACGGCTGGAGTCCCCGCCTTTACAAAATACCTGCAAAGATTAAAGGGAGTCCTTTGGCTTCCTGGTAGCTGGCCAAGTGTCATGCAAAGTGAGTGACTTCGGCCCAGCTCAATAAAGACTGACCTCCCAAAGGCCGAGGATAAGCTTTTTTGCTGATTAGCAGAGCCTCTCAGGCTACACACACCCGAGGAGGAGTGTTTTATGCATCAACTCTTCTCCCAACAGCTCCTTCTAATTAAAGCAGCTGTTACTCTCCTCTGGAAGGAGGTTTCTTCTGCAACTGCCCTTACAGCCTGAAATCCGAGGGCTTATGCAGGCTGCTGAGTTTTATGGAGTGACAGTTCAGACACAGCCCGCAGCGGCAGACCCAGAGCTCTGCTCCCACTGTGGCAGAGCGAGCCCCTAGCGCCGGGCAGCAAGCAGGCGGTCTCCAGCTAGCTACAACACGGTGCACGTTAACAGCACAAGCTTTACAATAACTTTTTGGCTTCCCAAACAGCAAATTCTTCTCTCAAAATAACTGCACAACACTTTAAAGTCAGTTTCAGAGTGAAACTGTGCTGCATGCTGTGCTGGGGGCTGCTCACGCAGCATTATTAACAGTGAGAGCATTGTTAACCTTCAACATACTCTCTTTATATGCTGCTGCTTTTTTTTTTTTTTTTTTTTTAAAGTAGCACTGCGTAGATGGGATCTGAAACAGCCCTTTTGTGCTGCTGCTTGTGTGTAGCCCAACCCCCTTCGCATCTCCATCCAGTCCTGGAATGAGCTGTTCATTTTTTTGGGGGGAAAAAAAACATATGTAAATTGCTAAAGCCAGGCACAAAATCCATGCAGTCCTACTGCTTTATACCTTCAAGAGTTAGGACTACTAAATCAGATAAGAGTTGAGACTATTAAAGTCCAAGAGTTAGGACTATTCAATCAAAGAACAAACTGTACTTAAGGCCCAAAGCTCATACTTTTTGCCTTCATGCTCCCTCTGGACACAAACAGGTACAGCCTCACCTTTCGTGCTGCAGCACTTGTAGCAATGTGCATTCTGGGTTCAGCTTGTACATTTCTGCTCTTTCTTCATCTTCAAAATAGAGCTGAAAAAAAATTTGGAGGGTTGTTAAATACCTAAGGTACATGAAAGGCAAACTACTAAGCTGTTGAGAGTCCAGTAACAGCATACCATATATCAACTAGTGATTTATCAGACTTCTGCACCTTGAACCGACTGTGTTGGATACTAATTTCAGCAATGTAGAAACTGTTTTGTGTAAATTCCAAGTCTTCCCTGTATAAACCAGTTTAGCTTCTTAACGGCAGTGGCAGCAGGAAGGTAAAATACACTGGCTTTTCCTGTGCTTTACAGAGAAGCAATCCAAACCTACAGGCTGCTTTCTAACAGGAGAAATGCAGCAATGGCATAAGCTGAACTGAGCAGGTTTAAAGATATCTGAACAAAACAGAGTAGATTTAAAAGATCTGAATCCAGCAACCATGCCTTAGACTGTACATACACAGAGCTATAATTCCAGTTTTTAATCTGGTGAACTGAACAGCCACTGTCCTTTTGGACCTGTCTGCTCACTGCACTAAGGGCCGCACTGTTACCTGGCACATGGGACACCAAAGTGGGAAATTAAAAAAAAAATCTGTATCCTTCTACGTACAATTTATGAAAAATTCTCAAAACCTGCTGCAGCCACAACCAACTCGCATCCCACCTTTGCTAAAGTCTTCATAGGTATATAGTGTCTTGATGGGATTAAGTGTTTAAGTACCTCCAGTTAGTTCTGAAAATAACCTAATATTTATGAATATTACCTTATTTGTTTTGAGCAACTTTGTAACGCAGTTAGAAAACCAAGCAGCCTACCAGCTTGATGGTCTAAATCTTAATCATCATTACAAAGATGGGAATCTAAGCAATAGCTATAAATACCTTCTATCAAATACAACATAAGTCCTTCCACAAAAGAACTTTCCTTTTCATTAATGAATTCTGTGCCTGTGTCAGCACATCTGGAAAATGTTTGGAGTTTATAAGTGAATGTAGCTCTCCAGATACTTATTTCACATCTGTGTATGGAAAATAAGTAACAATGCCATTGCTTTCAAACACTCAAACCCGTGTATTTTCTCGCTCCAGAAAAAAACCCACAACCCTGAAATAAAAGGAAATTCAAACTTCTCACCTCAAGATTGCTGGGAAGGTATTTTCTTTCTAAATCCCAAGGAGGTAACTCAGCAAACATCACCATTAAATGATCAATAAACCTAAAAGCCAAAATACACTTGGTTAGCTTAGACAAAGTGTTCAGCTTCAATAATTTGTACCGTTTCATTTTAATGATGGTAAAAATACATTAGCAAATCAGACCACAGACTTGAAAGTAAGTTTAGATCACTAGTAGTTCCTCCACCTTCAAATTCATTGCTTTCCCAATGAGACCAAGGTCCTGTTTGTAACTCACTGTACTGGTTTCAAACTTGAGCAGTGCAACAGAAAACTATTTTTAACTTTTCATTTTCACACTGAAAAAGATGCCAAAATAAACACTCTGCAAGTAGTCTAAAACTGATTTGCCTTCTACATGGTTCCACCAGCACCACGCTGCATCAGATCAGAGTGCTCAGAACATGCTTGTGTTTCTGGATTGCTGGTGGCCAGCTTGTTCTAGGAATCCATTCTCACTTCCTTTGGTTATGAAAAGACATAGTGAACACCACCGTATAAGAACCACAACTTTACTCATTTGCTTACACTGTAATTTTGTCCTAAACTACTTAGCAGATCTGAGGAATACAATACCCCCCAAAGTTACGAATTCCAAGTTTGTTTAACATTGCAAGATCAGAAACAGGTTAACATGAAGAAAAGAGGAATTCCCACCTTGCCAGGCACTTGCTTACAGTTTGAAAGGTCTGCAGCACTTCGGTCAGGCCTGCTGTAAGCCCTGTGGAAAGCTGTGGGGTCACTTCTAAGAGGTCCCTTTTGGACGTTTTTTATAATTTTTAAGTATAATCCTCTTTCTGAGACTCCATATTTGGAGCATCTTAATGAACTTCTGAAATATATGCATGTAGATGGGTCACTTAGTGGCCACTGGTCTAAGCTTGCCCTACAAGCCCCTTTAATCACAGTGGCTAAACACGATGTGTTTCTCTGCACTATAAACGTATCGTTGAGATTTTCGCCCTCATATTTTAAAGTGGCATTTGTAAATCATAGAATAATTTGGGTTGGAAAGATCCTCAGGACTAGTGCGACCAGATGCAGGGTCAGCTAGGGGATTAGAAATCTGGAGCTACTTCATTAGCACAGCAGTGTTTCACTTGCTGTCCTCATCTGCTCAAACATCTCTTTATGCAAGGACGCTGCTGACACTGCGTTTACCTGGAGTTCTCATGAAAAGCTGCAATGAAATCCGTTTGCTCGTGCTCAGGGTACAGGAAGAGGACAGGCCAGTTTAAGTTGCCATCAGCATCTAAGTGCACCTTTGCTCCTGTGGCATTGTCAGAGTGGAACCCATCTAAAGATATCTCAGCCAGGCCATCTGCTAGTTCCTCTTCCTCATTTGATGGCTCAAGAACCAGCTTGATATTTCTTTCCTGGAGAGAAGGAAGAAAAAAAATAAATTACCCAATAAAAACCCAAACAGGTATGGTGGGGAGGATAAGAGCAACAAATTAGCAGTCAGTAAAAGAACAAATTGTGTCATTCTTATTAATGAGTCAGCTCTTAAACATGCCATCAAAAGCTTTCCTATTGTATTGGACTTGAGTTACTGTCTTCCCAGTAGAATCCAGATCCTCAGCCAGACACCCAGACTCCTCACAAAACAGATGAGGAGAGGTGGGAATCCAGAGGAGTCTGCATGCTGAGAGAAGAGCCTGAAGAAAATGCGGGGAAAAGGATGCATCTGAAATCCTGTTCTTTGGGACCTAGCAGGCCCCAAAGCACTCACTTCAGCGTGCAACTTCACGCACCCGCCCCGAGAACATCCACTCTCACAGAGAGCTGAAAAAAACTCATTCTTTTCTTTGGAAAGACAACTGCAGAGCAGATCCAATTTCATGTAATAGCCCAAAATATTTTAACATAACCCAAATATTTGCCGAGGTAGGAGAGGATCCAGGCTTAATTCCCTCCTCCACCCTACTGGATAGTTATCTTCTATCCTTCCACTGAAGTAATGCCCAACGGCAGCAGAGAAAACAAGGTTTGCTGGGCCAGTGTGATGTGACAGCCCAGCAGCCAGAGCACCCGCTTGGATGCTCAGTCTGTCTCCTAACACCGGGTTTGTATTTTGCAGTAGTTGTTACTTGAAATACAGAAACCTGGGAGCTGGGGCTAGAGCCATGCAGATGAGAATCATGGGTTTAACTCAATTTTTTGGCTCTAGCCCTCAAAAGCCTGTGTATGAGAACAACCTCTTAAGAGACAAACGAGAGCTCTTAACAAAACCAAGCCAAACAACAAAACACACAAAATCAACCCCACTCACTGACCCACCTTTATTGCTGCAAGCAAAATTTCTTTTTGACACTGCTCTTTCTTCTCCATCACCTTTGCTTTCCTTGCATCCCGCTCCTCAGCTCGCTACATGTAAGAAAAGGTTGCATCATGGTCACACACAGCAAGTCAATGCCCATCACTGCTCTACCCTGCCAGTGAGCGGAGAAGTTAGTTCAGATCCCCTGAAAGGTCCCCTCCAGCTCTTTCCCCTACACATCTCAACACCACATGCTACATGGAACCACCACTCAATTCTGTCTGGGGATATTATACAACACAGAAACTTGTACAGAGAACACTTCAACCAAGGATCCCAAAGTGCTTCTTGACACAAAGCAGGCAACCAGCATTGTAGATGCTAGACTGCCTTAATATTTACCTTCAATTTGTCAGCTTTAGCTCTCATTTCCACAAGCTTTTTCTCTTTTGCATCTATTCGCAAGCCCTCCTCACACCATGCTATTGCTTCAGAAAAATTCTTTAGCTCCATGTGACAGAGAGCTCCTGGAAGGATTAATATTTTAAGTTTCTAGTACTGAACTCCGTGTACAACTATTACACAAAGTGGCAGTTATAAAGGCAGCACTAGCCCCAGTGCTTTCAAGAAGCAAACACAGCACAGGCTACTGTCTTGCGTGGTCGTGTTCAATTGCAGACTTCCAGTAGTTCAGCTGAGAAGAAAATAGAAAATATTTCAGCAGTTCTTGTATCATTTGCTCATCTAGTCACAGAATTCAGCAGGATGATACTAGAAGTGTCTGTTACAAGCAAAATTTTATTATTATAATTAACATTTCAGTATTTGTCTCATAAGGAAAAATAAAGTGGTGATTTCCAGAGAGTGAGAAATGCTGGGGAAAAAAATACAAGCCCCAAAAACTATTACCGTGGACAAGTTATGCTGTGCTCTACAGAAACAGGTCCAATGCCTCTTTGACAGATACAGAAGCTGAAGAGCAAAACCACTGTGTTTTTACTGAAAATCCAAAGCAGAATGCAGAGCTCTGTTTTGGGGAGAAATGGCAATAACAAAACAAGAAAAAAAATCTCATACAGTAACTGCTTTACTTTTCAGAAATAAAGGCTGTCTGGAAACAAAGGATGAGCGCACACTCACAGTAACTAAAGATTTATAAACACTGTTATTTAACAGAAACATGCAGTTATTTAACAGAAACATGCAGTGAAACAAAGCAATATCCAACAACAGGGCTTGTGACAATAACAGCATAATCAGTAAAAGTAATGTGCAAAGCTGTTTTGAAACCATGCGCCCTGTGTGCTTCATGCGGTAACACCTGTTTTACCTCTTACCTCTTATGATTGCTTTGAGGTGGGTGGGCTTTAGCTTTTTCGCTTGGATGGCATCATTGAGAGCAGAACGGTAGTTACCTATGAAGCAAGCAACACTGCTCAGAACTTTTCATTTATATTTAAAAACCAACCAGATCTGCAGGTGACAAAACAGCTTATGCGGAGATTCTGTAACTCCCTGTTTCTACAAGCACTGTGAGGTGAGTGGAGGAAGAAAGAGCAAACTAAGAGCAAGAACGAAAGGACAGGAACCCATCAGACAGGGGAGAGCCCCCTCCCCAGCCCCGACCGGGGGGTTACCCAGGTAAAACTGTGCGGCCCCTCGGTTTGTGTGCAGCACGGCGTTCAGCTCTGGGTCCTCGCATTTCTTTTTCAGCCCCTCGGTGTAGGCGATGACAGCTCTCTTGTAGTCCCGCTCCCTGAAGTACTCGTTCCCTTCGTTCTTGTACATCCTGGCCAGCTCTGCGGGGGATGGAGGGGGAGACACGGCCATCAAAACGGGAGCGGGGTGCAGCTCCCCAGCAGCACCCCAAGCCCTCTCCCTAGGCCGGGGATGGAGGGACAGACCCACAGACACCCCCCCCAGCCCCGGCTGCCCACCTGCGGGGCCCTGCTCCTCGTCGAAGAGGAGGGACTGCAGACAGGCCAGCTCGGGCTGCCGCGCCGCGTCGATCTCGGCCGGGCACCGCTTCATGAACATGGGGATGGCCTCCAGCTCCTGCGGGCGGACACACACCGGCCCTCAGTTCAGTTCGGCTCGGCCCGGCCCAGCGCCCTCCGGCCCCGCCGCCTCACCTCCTCCCAGGTGTCGGGGTGGAGAGC